AGCATAAATACAGTATAATCTAATCAAAGCCCTACTAATCATCATTTAGATTGTTTCCAGTTTTCCAGCATTGCAATAATTCTGTAGAGATCATCCTTCCGCATTTATCTTTCACAATCTGTTTTAGTTATCCATATGATACATAAAATATAGATACACATTTAAAATTTTAATAGACATGCCAAAAATGCCCTCCAAAAAGGTTTTTACCAATCTACAATCATACCAATATTGTATGAAATTGACCTTTACTCACACTTTCTAGATCATTGGCTATGATCAATTTTTGCCAAACTGACAGATAAAAGTGATACTGTACTTCTGTGTACTTCTGTTTTAATTTGCACTCCTTGATTATTCATGACATTCAAAATATTTTCATACATTTACAGGCCATTTGTATTTTTATTTTGTCAATTGCCCATTCAAATCCATTGCCAATTTTTCCTTTGGATTGTTTACTGCTTGCTGATTTTAATAGTTTTTTTATTTAAATGATAATACTAGTGCTCTGTCCTATGTGTTACAAATACTGTCTTCAAATTATTGTTTTGTCTTTTGACTATGCTTACCGTGTTTTTTAATTTTATTTTTTAACTTTTGCAGCAAAGAAGTTCAAAATTTTTTGGCAAAACTCTCAGTTTTTGATTTCATGATTGGAGAAATCTAAGATTATTAAAATATTCATTCATATTTCTTCTTGGTTCTTTACTTTTTTGTCATAGATTCATGCAAAGTTATATTGGTGAAAAGAATAAAGTAAGAATTTTATCCATCCCTGCTCATACAGTTTTTCCTTTTTTTTTTTTTTTCAGCCATTCACCTATTGGGGTATGTTGGGCTACTTCCAAATTTTCAACTTTTCATTATTATATGTATTATAATACTTCTAGTGAAAAGCTTATTTATAAACCTAGGATTTGGGAGCTACAATATATAAATATTTTTAAGGGTATTCATACCATTCATCTAAATTTATATCTACTCAAATTTAGGAAAAAATTATATCAATCTACATTTCCAGAAGCAGTGGTGCTGAAGAGCACCTGGTTCCCCACACTCTTGGCCACAAAAGATATTTCAATCTGACTAGGCAAAAGTGATATTATTTTTGTTTTAATCCATTTCTTTAACTACAAATGACAATAATATATCTTCTAATGTGTCTATTGGCTTTTTGTGTTTCTTCTTTTGTGAACTGTTTCTGTCCTAATTTTTTTTCAACAGGAGTTTCCAATTATATTTGAGAGTAGAATGTTCATCTCTATCTAGAAATCTAATATTCACTTTATTTTATTCTTTAATTTTTTTAATGACTTGATACTCTCTTTGACTTCATCTAGGAGATAATGTATGTATGAGTGGAACATAGGGAACCTCATGGAATCTAAGGGAAGCTGAAAGACTTGGACTCAAGATGATAAGAACTTCTCTCTTTCATCCCAACAGGTTTCTCATCTTTGCTTCTCTCTGCTTCATGGCTCTCTTTCTGCAGATAGACATTATCTCCTTTTCAAGGGTGCCCCACAGAGGTGGCCCCTCTCCTGTATTTTTATTACACTTTTTCAAGAAAACTGGCCAAGTCTATTCCATGAACTGAGTCCAACTCCAACATCCTGAGAGAGAGAATCTGATTGGCTGATCCTAGGTCAGGCATCTCCCTCTTGTCCAACCAATGGATGCTAAAGCACAGAGGTTACATGGGGTATAGGGATATGGCTGCTGGCAGCTACCAAGAAGGCTGTTAATGGTTCACAAATAAAGGAGGTCATCACAATTTGGATGGACACCCAAAAGGTTTCTACTACAACAAGTTGCTATTATCATATAATGAACCCTAACATCTATTTGGACTTGGTCTGTTCTCTGAATCAGTTATGCTGTGGCATAATCTTGGCACTAGCTGACCTTGGCAATTCTGAATCTTAAGGACCTGGAGATTTTGAGGCAATCTATGCTGCCCTGGTGAGATGAACCACTTTTCCTATACTTTCAACTTTTAATGCTAGAATTAGAATGGCTTACCTCCCTTAAGAAACCCTGAAACTGCCATGGTCTGGGAATTTGTGATTAAACTTCTTGCACAAGATCACCAACCCAAGAAATTCAGAAACTGGCTGGTCTTAGTCATGTTCCAGACAGCGACATCTCAATCATAACCCTAACATAGTTCTGAGATGGTATCTAGAATTCCTTTTGGAATGCTGCTGTTTGCTTTATTTCCTTGGGTGGTGCACAGCAATTTGTCCTTTGGCCTCTCAACCAGTCTTTCTCCAGGCCCAGTTCCCAACAAACCAAACCAAAGTTGCAGAGCCATCGGGACAGAACCATAGGCATTGTTAAGAACCCCTTAAACTCAAGTAGAAATTCACATTTATCTGGAGCTGCTGAAGGGTAATACCTCATTTCCTCTATTTCATGTTCCATCCCAGAAGAAAACCATTCCATGGAGCCGGGAGGGGTTAGTTCTTTCTTTATATATGATGTACTAGCCTCTTGAGTCAGTGTTTCTGCACAGTGATTAGGGATGGTTATTATGTGTGATGGTCCCAAGAACTGGAGATGTTTAGCAAAAAAATCAGTGGTCCTCAGGGAATTAAAGATCAGGGTACCACCCTTAATGTCATGAGAACCAAAAATGTCCCCACAAAGTTTCAGAATTCACTTGAGGAGCTGTTGCAACCCTTTGCGATAGCTCTTATCATAAACTAAAGTTCTGTGTTATTTGGGTCTCTTTATTTGTAAGCATCTCATTACATCATGTGGCCGTTTTTTTATGTGAGCTAAGACCATAGTACTATATGGGGTTGGCCAAGAGTTTTCAGTCTTCTTGGGTCAACATTCTAATGGAGTCATCAGGTTCCCAAAACATTTTCTTCTTTTGGATGATTGATCAACACAACTTTAATCCATGGATATTGCAAATTAAAACACACTTTAACCCATGGATATTGCAAATTAAAACACTTCTTAGAAAGTCTGTAGTCTCATATCAAATGAGCTTGAGTCAAAATTTCTGTTTGTTTTGCATGTAAGACAAAATTGAACTCAAAGTAAAAGGGAATTGTAGCTGGACATAGTGGATAGAGGGCCAGACTAGGAGTCTGGGGACCCCATTCTGGCTGTATAATCTTGGTTGAATCAATTCCCCTTTTTTGGTTTCAGTTTCTTCCACTGCAAAAGAGGGAGGTTGGACTCAGTGTCAGTTCTTTCAGCTCTTAATATTGGGATTTTTACCATCTTTCTGTGTGCCCATTCCATTATTTGTAATATTGGGACATTATGTGCTCACCTTCAGGGGAGACAGAATTTTCCTTAATATTAGTGAAATATTCTGGCATTGCGGCCACCCAAAAATTAGGCCCCAGGAATGATCCAAGCTTCCACACAGGTCTTAGAAGCTCAAGAACAGTTTCTTATAAAATGTTTATAACTATTATATAGTATGAGTTTGTGAGTATTATTGCTATATACTGTTAAGAGGCATTTGTCTCATAAGAAATTCATGTTGGAGTTAAAAAAAATCACTGGAGAGAGAAAAGGCACTCCCTTATTAGGAAAAGAAAAAGAGCACATATTTCAGACTTTAACAGAGGATCAGAAAGGAAAGTGAAGAAGAGGGGCTAGGTGAAGGAGTAATCCCACCTGCTTGTTTCACTGTCTAACCTACAGCCATCTCCTCATGTTCATGGCCACAATACTAGTAATCATTTGAGTGCTTTTATGGAGTAGGAACTATACTGAGCTTACATATTGTTATTTAATTTTCACAACAATCCTATCTGGGTAGGTGCTATGATTAACAGTAATTGGCAGAATGAGAATTTGAACCCCAAATGTGTGTGACCCCAGAACCCAGGCTTTTAAAGCCATTATGTTTTACTGACACTTATTTAGTACTGGGACAGAAGGAGGCAAAATGCTTTCCCTTTCCAAAACCTCCTAACAACTCAAACACTACTGATCACTTATTCTAGTTCTGTCTGCTGTTTAAGTTGTTATGGAAAACATACTCCATTTGGAATGTGAAAGCTGGATTCTACTTCTGCTATTCTGAATTTTAGACAAAGCACAGAAGCTTTCTGGATCTAATTTTCCTTATTTGTAAAAGACAGAGAGCTACTTGAAGGCAGAAGGCCATTTCTTACCCATCTTTTCCCTTTGGATATAGCAGTGTTGGGCAAATAGTGGTGTTTTAAAAGCACTCGCTGAAAAGACTCCAAGGGGTCGTAGACAAAATGGCTCCTATGCTTCCTTTATCACCCTTTGATCTTGAAATGGGGCCTTCACCAGGTAGGTATACAATGAATACAGTTGCTTTCTATTTTAAAAGCAGAACAAGGCATGCGTAATTCTTGTGATTTAATCTTTGATAAGGTTGGTCTTGATGAAGTGGATGGAATATTCTGTTTGGCGTTCGTCTCCACCTGTTACAAACATTTGTATGGAAACCTTTACTTCCCGAGACTCCATACTACGGTTGCATAACAGCGCTGATAAACTGCAGCAATCATCACCGAGGGTGGCCAGGAACCAAGGATTTACTGCAGTATCCTCCTGGAAAACAGCTATGGAATCTTAGGCAAACCCCTGGCTGGGAGGTCAGTGTCCTGCGTGCACTTCGGCATTTGACCTTGCCATGGTCTCCACACCTCCCCAACCTCAGTCTCATATGCAAATGGCAGAATTGTCAGACAAGGTCCCTAAGCCTCTTCCCAAACCCTAGGCTTTAATTTGTCCTCTTGAGGGTGGGTGCGTTAAGAGGGTAAGATCAGGCCTAGAGTCATAGGGTGATGACTCTAGGTGCTGCGCCGTCCCTTTCCTCCTTCCCACCTTGAGCCCTCTAGCTCCGCCGCGGTGAGGTCACGCGGGAGACGTCACGGGTTTGTGACGCCACCAATGGGCGGGGCTCCTGGAGAGGAAGGGGCGGGCCTAGGCGGGCGACGCTTGCGCAGTGGGCGCGGCGCGGGAGGAGGCGGAGGCGGTGGAGAAGCGAGAGGCGGCGGCGACGAAGGCGGAGGCGGCGGCGACGGCGCAAGAGGGGGTGGGGGGTGGGGCGCGAGAGTGAGTGAGTGGCTGAGTTTACCCCTGTGAAGCAGTGAGAGGCCCGGGGCCTACCTCAAAGGAGAGGGGTCGCGGTGCCAGCTAGCAGCGGGCCCCCTCCTGGTCCCCGGGCCCGGTGGCGGCGGCGGCGGCGACTCGGTTGTGAGGAGGCGGGGAAGCGGGTGTCCGGCCCCAGTCATGGAGGGCATGGACGTGGACCTAGACCCCGAGCTGATGCAGAAGTTCAGTTGCCTGGGCACCACCGACAAGGACGTGCTCATCTCCGAGTTCCAGCGGTTGCTCGGCTTCCAGCTAAACCCGGCCGGCTGCGCCTTCTTCCTGGACATGACCAACTGGTGAGCCGGCCCCGCCGCGCCAGCGCTGGCGGCGGCCTCGGGGCCCCGAAGGGAAAGGAAGGGACACCCGAGCCCGGCGGCAGAGCGGGCCCGGCGGGCACTGAGGGGCACCCCCTTCTGGGGCAGGTAGGGAGTGTGAGGGGAGCCCTAGGGCACAGGGGGACTGAGCCGGGATAGAACGTACGAGTAGAGTTGGGGGCCACGGAGGGCAGAAGGAGCAGGAGGGAGATTGGGGAGGGGTTCTTGAGGTTCTGCAGAGAATTAGGGGCCCAAGAATGTGGGAAGAGGGGGAAAAGACTTGATCATTGAGGCATAGGGGTAGACCTGGAAGAAGAAGGCTGTCATGTTAGCTAAGAGTAAAAAAGCACAGGAAATCAGAATTTGGGAGTGGAAAAAAAGCTTGAAGTATGGAGTTAGGGGCAGAGCATGACACGGATGAGGGTAAACTCCGGCAGAGAATTAGGTGCTATGGAAGAACCTGGGGCCCGGTAGAGACTCGGGAGTTAGGATCTGAGAACATATAATTTGTGTTTCTTTTCCTTTCGAGGACAGATAAGGAAAAAGGAAGAATATTATGGGGAGGGATAAGTGAGTACGGTAATAGAGATGACTTCCCAAAGAGTTGTGCCAGGGAGAAGTGGGATCTAGTACTAGATGTACTAATGGAGGACCGGGGAATGCTAGACCTGGGGCAGAGTCTGAGGAAAACCTTAGGAAAAGTGAAGGAAAGAAGGTTATTTAGGGAGAGAGAGTAGTGTGCAGCAACTGAGCCTTGGGCTCCAGAATGCCAGAATGGAGAGGGGGTTATCTGAAAGAAAGTTGGATTGGTAGATGTTTGGGAAAATGACTAACTTAGGCTGGGAGCAAGTTTTTTGGCTTGGAGTCTCCTTGTAGAAGACTGAATCGGGGCAGAAGACCATGGCACTTAGACTAAGGGAGTGTTTCTTGGCTTTGGATGCAGTACTTGCTATTTTTGATAAGCAAGGCTTACTTCCCCTTGTTCTCTGAGGAGGAGTTGAGTTCACTCAGGGTGAGTGATAGAGTGGAGAGTAAAATTCCTTTGACAGGATTTCAAATGAAACAACTCACCTTTCTTTGGTCAAAAAGCTATGAGATGAGTACCCTTTGCTCTCCGTGTGGACATTCAGTCTACTGATATATGTATTCTTCTTTCTTTTGGCATCATTTACACAACCAGCTTCTCCTCCTTTCCAAGTCCACTGAATGCCTCAGACAATGCCAGAAAAAGAGGCTGTAAGCTTAGTCTCTATCCTGTTCCTCATCTAGTCGTATCCCAAATGATGCTCATCTTACTAATGGGAGCCTTGTAGCACTGGCTGCACCTCCTGTGAATTTTTTTTCTGCTCAGCATCATTGGTGGGTCCTATTTTTTATCTTTAAACTTGATTGTTACAGTAATAGTGAGATTGAATTTCTAATGTTTAGAAAACTCTGAGGCATTGGAAGCAGGAAATAGTCTAAAAAAGCATCTGTGATTCCCAGTTGGCCTTTTATGTCTGGGATGGTCTCAGAGAGGGACTACAGCCTATAGTAGTTTTCTGAACACCAACCTATGTATTGGTGAGAGTGGCAGGTTATTGAAAACACTAGAGGGATTACATTGGTGAGATTTAGAAGTAAAATTATATCTTAAGGAGGATTGTTCCTCTCACTTGTCTGCTTCCCACCCCGGCTCTTTTTCTTCCTTGTTTACGCTAGTTCAGCATAGGAAACTTGGCATGTTGTTGCCCAGTTTGCTAGGGGTGGATCATTATTTCTCCCCACCCCCTTGTGAGTCGTACCATTTAAACCCTGCCTTAATAAGTTTTTAGTTCTTTAGAGTCAGTATTTATTAGTATAATTATTACAGCTACAAAACCAGTGTAATGAATTTATATGCTTGAGATGTGTGTAACATCTGAGATTATTCGTTCTTAGGTGTGAAAGGTGAGGCTCAGTGTGGATAAGAAAAAAATAACCTAAAAATTACACTTGCATTGTAAACATTTTATTTGAATTTTATGAAGATTATTAGGCTCAAAGAAATGGAGTAGCATGTATTCTGATGAGATGTTATATATGTATAAAACAAGGTATGATACATACCTGAGCAAAGAAGTGAGCTATTCAAAAACGTATTCTGGTTTTCAAGTCAGCAAGTAGCTTCTTAGGAATCTGGGCAATTAAATGATAATTTAGCTTTAAGCCACATTATATTATTTTTTGGCTGTAGAAGTCATGTTTGTTTTGTTTGATTATAAAATGAAAAGTCAATCGTGAACTGAAGAAAGTAAGGCTTGCCATTCTTTTCTTTCTAATGAAAACAGCTCGATAATCCAATATTGTATTTGATTCCTGGGTTGACCTGGCTAAATTGACTTAGCAAATACTTACCATAAGTAATAAAGTCTAGTTAAAGTAAACACATGCATACATACTTGGTCAAAATATTTGTGCAATTGTTTTAAGAAAATAGAGTCTAGAAATGTACTGTTTTTTAATGTCATTTAATGTCTAACTTTGGAACTTGAGATAGTCCTAACGCAGGTTGGCAAAAAAAATCTCTAAAACTGCTGTAGTTAAAAGCTGTTGAATTTGAAATGATTAACCTTCTTGTGACTTCATAAGTGCTTGCTTTGGGTTGTAATAAATAACCACCATTCAATTGTCTGATGACTGTTAAAAAATAATACAGTAATTAAAAATCATTATTTTAAAATGAAGGCACTGACTTCTAAAATGCAAACTGAGTTGGAAGTTCTGGACTATGTCTATGGTTTCAGAAGTAAGATATTATTTTTTGTTGTTAACATTTTTTAAGAAGTCACTGAAAAACAGATTAAATTGAATATTTTGGCCTTGTAAATAATCTGCCCTATAAAGACAAGATTTTTTTCAGCCTTAGTTTGGGTATACATTATGTAGATATTTCTATTTGTTTAATTTAGGAACCAAGTATTGTTTCAGTTTAAGCATTTTGTAGTGTTTGTTTATACCTGAGCTGGTAGCCACACTGCTAAGAGATTGGTGGAATTGCCACTTAACAATAGTAATCAATATTTAGTTCCTACATAAAGTGAATAAATGGTGTGGTGAAAAAAAATAATATCCGAGGCCAAACTGAAATGACTTGTAGATTAGTATAACTTTCTATAGCTGGAATGTCTTGCAGAGATACTATAGGGCTGTGAATATAGAACTTGGAATTCTAAAACTGGAAGCTGGCTGAAGAGATACACTAGTTCATTCCAATTTTTACTGCCGAATTGCATGTAACTCTTGTAAGACAGATTATTCTTATGTCCCTTAGGGCAGAGATTTGCATGATACCTTATTATTATGTTTAATTACTTTTCTAAGTTAGAATTATGTCAAAACTAAATCTTTTATTATTTAAGCTTTTCATTTGCTTATGTCCTCCTTGGAAATGGAGATCATCTAATAAACACCTTCCTTAAGAGGTCAGAAATCTATTAATTATAATTACTAAAATTTTTCAACCATTTTTAATTTAAATACATTCAATGTAATATCTTCTCATTCTCTAAAGTCTTAGAGATTTATATATATATATATATATTTAGGGGAAACCAACACGATTCTGAAGAGAACTTCCATACAATTTTTTAAAAAGTCGTAGTAAAATATACATAACAAAGTTTCCGTTTTAGCCACTTTTAAGTGTACAGTTCTCTGTTTATAAGACTTTGAATTCGCTTCTGGCGCTCAGTCATTTGTGTCAAAGTGAGGTATTTAGCATTTGTGACAAGAGGCAAATAACACTTCTGAGTTTTTAGTGGGCCTTAACTTAGGAATTGGTACTGGCCTTGTTTCTCAGCATAGGTATAAGTTAAATACCTGACTAGAATATAGACAACATTGGCAGTTTCTCCCCTTGCTATTCATTAGGCTAGTGCTTTGCACTTTTGGTGTTGCAACATCCTAGGTTGCCTCCAGATATCTTCAGGAAGTAGTGTGCATTTTTTGGAACTCCACATGTATCCATCATGGATAGAACAGATGTTTTCTAGAAAAGTAACTTGGGAAAAACATTTTTGTAATAAAACGTCTTAACTGACTTTCTCAACATTGTCAGAGGCACCCTACTTGATAAAGTAAAGGTATAACTACAACTCAGTGAACTGAAATCAGAATCTAGATGTGAAAATCAGTCATACCCCTTATCTCATCTCACATTGCCTCTCCTGCCTGGTCTTAATATATTTCTCAATCACCTGCATGCTAAATGAATTTCTGATCTACTCTCCGACTTATATATATGGGTCTAGGGAAATCCCTTTATAACAGATAAAACATGTATTAATACTGGTTTCTTTAAAAAAAAAGTATGTGCCAAGCAGCAATTTTCAGCAAGAAGATAGGGAAGGGTTGCATAACCCTCAGTGATAGAGTGTCATGCACTCTTGCATTTTTAAGAAGGTTGGGAGGCCTTGCTTTGGATATTCTTTCCCACATTTCTCAGTCTTTTTTGAGTTGCACACACAAGTTGAGACTCTGGGTATAATGTAAAATGTAAAATACTTCACAAATAGAGCATCCAGATTCATTTTAGTTTAAAAAGGAACATGGTAAAAAGTACTTTGTGCTGTAGGAAGTCTTTTTACTGTCCTGTTGCTATGGGACTTGCATATCTGATCAAAGATCCAGTCAGAACTAATCTCTGTTATATAGCTAGAGCAGGTGGAGGTTTCTTTAGCACCTCTTATCTTCCTACTCTCCTCACACAAAATTTGTCTAACACATAACAAAAACTATTAACCAAATACATACAAATAAATGGATTTTGGATAGACCCCTAGTGGATAGTGTAATACAAAAGCAGAACATGTCTGAAACTATCAAAAGTTTCAGGATAATAAGGAGGAAACATGTTAATACTGAATTAACTGAGTAAAATTTCAGAACAGGTAGAAATGGACTGAATTACATAGAACCAGTGATTCACAAAGACTGAATGCTTGCTGTGGGAAAGTTACATT